TTTTGAAACAGGTTCTGAAGTAGCCCACACTGGTCTCAAACTGACTAAACAATAAGGATGACTGTCAACTTCTAATCCTATTGCCTCTACATTCTGAGTGTTGAGAGGTGTGCCACCATGCTAGTTTTATACAGTGCTGTGGGTTGAACCCAGGAATTTCTGCATGGTAGGTAAGAAATAGGAGAGACCTATCTGAAAAAAATAATGGGTCTGGAGAGGTGGCTCAGCTATTAGTGAACTGGCTGCTCTTGCAGAGGACCCAGGTTCAGTTCCCAGCACCCAAATGGCAGCTAACAACCATCTATAACTCCAGTTCCAAGGGATCTCTTCTGGCCTCCGCAGGCACTGCACACTTGCGTGCACTTACATGCAGGTATAATATACACATAAAATATAGATAAAATATTTTTTTAAAAGAAAAACAAATAAGTACACATATATATGCCTTACATATGAATTCCTTCCCAATAGAGTTATTAAAATGGATACTGCCTCCATTATATCTGTGTAGCTATACACTTCATTTTTAGTGAGTAGATTGTAAGGTTTTGCAACATTATTTTTTATATACTGACTAATCTAGGAGACATTTTTATAAGAAAGGTATTCTTATTATCATTTTATATCTGAAGAAACTGAGGTAGCAAAAGGATTATTTGTCTCACATCATACAGCAGGTCAACAGTGAGCCTGTGTTTTGTTTTGTTTTGTGTTTTATATTTGAGACAAAATCTTGCTATATTGCCCAGGCTAGTCTGGAACTGCTGGCTAAGCCTCCTAAATAACTGAGACTACAGGCATTCTTAACTCCAGAGCTTGCATTTGACCACTGATTATCTGTCTCCAGTCTCTTAAATACTACATCATAATATAGTTAAGAGACTATAGGTACTGTAAGACATATGAACTGTTAACAAAAACTTCAGAATTCACTCTTTATATCTTTCAGAAGCTACAGAATCATTCAAACCCCTTTCACTGGGGCTAGTGAGATGGCTCCACTGGTAAAGGTGCTTGAAGCACAAGCCTGGCAACCTGAATCTGATTCCCAGGACTCACATGGTAGAAGGTGAGAACTGACTTCTACAAGTTGTCCTCTGACTTCCACTGTACATCATGGCACATGTGACCTCACACATACATCATGCATACACAATCACATACAATAATGAAAAAAATTAACTTTTTCATCTATATACAAATTCATTCTGATTTTTGATAGAACATTTAAAAATAAAATTTTTAAATAATTGTATAAAAATAGAATTTAAGAACTGATATGAATGTTTTAATACCATGTTCCATATTAGAAATCTTCATAATAGATTAAGCTTGCTAATATAAAAACAGTAGTTTTAATATTATTAAGAAATAAAGTCTTAAACCATTTGATCAATATTAGGGATATTTGTCTTGAGCAACTTTTAGTTAATCACACCAAGAAAATATATTGAAGACTGTTTAATATTTTATGAGATAACCAAATTGAACAATTTTATAGGAGGTAGGTTATAAGTTTGAAAAGACAGAAAAAGTGCCCAGTTACAGTTTGGGCTTCTTGGGCATGTGCCTGCTGTATGTGCTATGTCCCTAAATCTGTTCAGGGTCAAGAATCGAAAAGGTCTGACCAATACACAGCCCATCTTGTAAAACTACAGCCTGAAGCAAGCATTTTAAAAAAGCACAACACTTTCTAAAGGTTATAAAGAGTAAATAAACCATCAAATTACTCCTCTTTTATTGTTTTTGTAAAAACACTTAAATCCTTGTAGTCCTAAGGCATCTAATAAAAAATAAACACTTTTAGGATTCTATATTCTGGGATACTTTATTGAACTTGGAGATGACATTGCCTTACTAAATTTTCTATATTTTTTTTCATTGACAACCTCATAGGAATTTTTCTTAAAACATTTTTAAAGTTGCTTAATGACTAGAAGAAAAATATAAAACCTAAATAATAGAAAGGCTAAAAATAAATCTAATAGAAAACTTGAAGTGAAAATCCTAACAAAGCATAAACACATGAATGCTATTTTTAGCGATATGACTAACTTCCATTTTATCAGTTTTCCACATGAGATAAAGTTATGTATTCTATAAATCATAATCAGAAAGAGGTATGGTTCTAATCATTAGTAATTCCACTAAGTTTAAAGGGAACTGAAATGCTGTTTAATATTATTTTCCTCACATCATATCACTACTTGGCCAGTTTTCCCTCAAAACTTCTGCAGCAAATCATTGTTACTTTAGATTATTAAAAACTCCCATAAATTTTATTTATTGTTCATTTAGAATTCAAAGATTTATTCTTATTTATATATTTAACAGGTTTTTTCCTAACCTATCATAATGTTCTGTTTATAATTTTATCATGATACATAATACATACTATACAGTAACAGTTATTAATTTGCATGGCATGATGTACCTATAAAAATTTTAATTCTCTTAAAGTGCATACCAAAAAATGGTTTGTAAAAGGACATCAAAGGAACACATAATTTAATGCTCTAAAAGCTTCATGGTAAAGTTTTTATCCACATTGTACAAATGATTTGGATTAGAAATATATTTTGTTTTAAAACTTTCAAGTCCCTTCCAGTTTTTAGAATCCAATAGATTTAACATTGAAATCTGAATTTCTAATTTGTTTTTGATGTAATATAGATCCTACTCTACTCATATCACATGCCAACTACTCAAATCCTGAAGAAAGATAAATTTGTGACCCCTATGTTATTATTGATCATCTCTACTCCTTAACAGTTATCCCATGGAACTGTCTGACAAGGGCATTTATCAGAATTGAGTTAGGACTGGGGGTATGTCGCAGATGGTAGATGTAATTTTACATCTTTATTCATTTAAAGCAACCCCTTGTGTTTAAATACTGCCATTGCCAACTTAGATCCATAAAGAAAAAATGAATAGTGTCCTTTTAGAATATACTTAGGCAATGCAATATAGTTAGGGGATTTTTTAAGTCTTTTTCTTTAACTTTATCTTGATGTCTATTATGGTTTGCTTATTTTAACTAAAGCCATTTGACTAATCTTTTACAGTATAGAACAAACTTGACTGGCATTTCAGCTAATTTGAGAGCACTGCAAAAAAATAGGGCAATATGAATACTAATCTCTTAAAATCAAAATTTGAATCTTAAAAATGAAGCTGGAAAGATAGATTAGCAGTTAAGAACACTGGCTCCTCTTGCAAAGGATCCAGGTGTGGTTCCTGGCATCTACATAGTACCTGACACCCATCTTTAACTCCAGTTGAAAGAGATCTGACACACTCTTCTGGCCTCCATAGGCATTGCATGCTAATAGATGGTGCACTTACATGCAGGCAAAACACACACATAAAATAAAAATAAATATAATAAAAACAAAGTCTGAGGTTGACCTCTTTCCTCCATATGTTTGCACACAAATATACATGTGCACCTGCCCACATGAACACATATACACATAAACACACATTACATACATACATACATACATACATACATACATACATATATACATACATAGTTTTTTTGTTGGTCCTATATACTTCAAATAACTTTGCTTGTTTGTTTATTTGTTTGTTTGAGACAGGGTTTCATGTAGCCCAGCCTAGCCTTGAATTTATTATGTAGCCAAGGATGACCTTGGACTTCTGGTCCTCTTGCCTCGGCCTCCCAAGTGCTAAGATTACTTGTTTGAGCCACCATGTGCTCCATTAATATGGTGTTGGTGATTGAATTAAGTGCTCTGAGCATGCCATGAAAGCACTCTATCAACTGACCTACATGCCTGTCCCCTCAGAAGACTTTTTAAAGAAGCATGTTTTTTTTGAATTAGAAATATCAACAAATAAAAATATAATGTTTGAAACATAATAAAACAAAGTATAAAGTTTTAGTGTCCTGAAGTCATTTCCTTTAGGAAATAGTTTTTGTCAAAACTAAATCACCAGGAAAGAGGGAACTTCAATGGAGGAATATCCTCCATCTGACTGGCCTGTGGCCATGTCTATGAGGCATTTTCTTAATTGTTCATTGATGCAGGAGGGCCCAGCCCACTGTGAGCAGTGCCATCCCCAGGCACGTGGGCCTGGACTGTATAAGAGCAAGCCAGAGGGAATAAGGCAGTAAGCAGCATTCCTCCATGGTCTCTGCTTCAATTCCTGCCTTGAATTCTTACCGTGTGTGGCCTTTCTCACTGACAGACTGTGATTGGGAGCTGTAAGCCAAATAAACCCTTTCCTCCCCAACTTGGTCTTGGTTAGTGTTTTATCACAGCAACATAAAGCAGACAAGAACAGAATGGTAATTTTTTTATGTGTATGAGTGTATTGCCTGCATGTATGTGAGAGCACCCGTGTCGTGCAATGCTGCGGAGGCCAGAAGAGAGCTTCAGATTCCCCTGGAACTGGAATTAAGGACAGTTCATAGCCGCCATGTAGGTGCTGGGACTCAAACTCGGGTCCTCTGTAAGAGCAATCAGTGCTCTTAACCACTAAGCCATCTCTCCAGCCCCCAGAATGGTAAAATTTTAAGATAATTTTGCAAAAATATTTCTTAATAATGCTTATCCAAGATACCCTTTTCCAGCAGGATTTCTTCTTTAAACACATTTTGTTATACTACTAAGCAACTTATAGAATGAAAATTGCAGCATGAAATTTTATTATAATAGTAAATTTCAATCATTTAAAGTCTCAGAACAATGTTTATAACTTTGTAGCTTATTTTTGGAGAGCCACTATAGTCAATGACTTCTTTGTGCCTCTTTGTTTCTGTCTTCGCTCCTGTATAAGTCCTAGTGAAAGCATCTCTGAAGAGAATACCAGACCTATATATAGGAAGCCTCCTCAAAGTCAGGAGTTCCTCAGAAAGCCTTTCAGAACAAGGATGTCGGTTTCCTTCTCCATAATATGAGATTTTACAAAAGTTAAAACATATACTAACAACAAAATACCTAAGAACATGGCTGGCAAACAACAAGCAAAGAAAGAAAAACAGAAAATAAGCAACAGCAAACACAAGCAACTACAACTAGATCATTACTACAGTGTCTTTTATTTTCTTCCTACCAGAACCAGCTGCAATCTGACCTACAGAGTTAACAATATAGTATTCAAATTTAGATCAACACAATCTCAGAAATAGAATGCTTTTGAAAGAGATTTATATAATACAAATATCCTGCTAAAATCAATATCTTACAATATTTTATGCTAGATAACTCTCTACTTTTAATCTCGGGGGCTGGAGAGATTGCACAGCAGTTAAAAGCACTGGCTGCACTTGCCAAGGACCTGGGTTCAGTTTCAGCACCCACATGCTGGCTAACAACTGTCCTTAACTCCAGTTTTAGGGGATCTGACATTCTCTTCTGACCTCCATGGGTATTGCACTCACAGGTGCACTTAAGATACACACAAGCAAAACACTCCTTCCTACACATAAAATAAAGATAAATTTAAAAAAAATTTAAACTCAGAATTAGAAGCCGGGCATGGTGGTGCATGCCTTTAATCCCAGCACTTGGGAGGCAGAGGTAGACAGATCTCTGTGAGTTCAAGGCCAGCCTGGTCTACATAGTGAGTTCCAGGCCAGCGCCAGCTGGAGCTACAGGGAGACCCTGTCTCAAAAGACCAAACCAACAACAACAACAACAACAACAACAACTCAGAATTGGGCTGACAGGAAGGCACTTACTATTCAAACCTGGTGACAAACCCACATAAAGGTATGAGAATCAAAGCCACAAAGTTTTCCTCTCATACACACACACACACACACACACACACACAACTAACAATAATAATTAATAAATACATTTAAAATAAATAAATTTTAAAATCTCAGTTACCATCTTTAAAGGTAAGGACATTTAGGATTGGGGTTGTAGCTCAGTGGAAGAGTACTTGCCTCCCATGTATGACACCCTAAGATCAATCCCCAGTATTGCCATAAATAATAACTTTTGAGCTCAGAAGACTAACTACATACATTTGCCATTTAATTATGTACTGCTTTGTTCTGTCATGCAATCATTTCCTAGGTACAGATCTTAAATGTGTAACAAAAACACAATCTCCCCAAACACTGTGCTTTTTAATTTACATGGTGCCTAATTATGGTGCTACCTATTCGCTGCAGTGCCTCAATAAAATACAGTTGATTTCCCAAGTATTTAACAATGTAAAAACCCTTTCCTATTTTTTGCTTTGTCTCCAAATTTTTCTTATTTCCGATTCCCTAATCATGAACTTAAATCTGTTCCATACTCCTACTTCATTATTTGGACTATATATTTCCTTTCCAAATAAGATGTTATTTTGGCTTCTTTCCTTGAAAGAAAAATAAAGGAAAAAAAATCAAAGTTTTTTTTAAATAAAAATTTTAAAGAGGAACTTACTCTTCTCATTTGCAGTTCTTCTAAAGCTTCTAGTAAAGTTGTTCTGAAATCTAAGAGTTGACTAAAAGCCATTGTGCCTGAAGAACTTTGGAGAGTAAACGCAGATGATGATTCAGAGTTGAAATTATTCTCCATATCATTATTTATCTTTATTTCCTGTAATACAAAAAAATTAACTGAAAAAAAATCACGTACCTGTGCTCTTCCAGTAAAAACATAGTTATCATAAAAACATTAACCCATGATCCTCCAGGTTCAACACTAAGTAACAATTCTCAAGAAGTTTCTATTCTATTTTTCTTACAGCTGAGCCTTTTTCTGGTACTTGAAAACCCTCTGAGACAACATTTTCTGCCCCCACACAGAAATCTCCAAAAGGCTAGGTTCCTAATACTGCAGACAAGTTTTGACCCTTCAGTAGTTTGATGCCAAGATGAATACAAATTCTCTTTTTAGACTTTGCTTCGACATAAAGCCACTTTCAAAGATAGTGCGGCCAGGCGTGGTAGTGTACACCTTTAATGCCAGCACTCAGGAGGCAGAGGTAGAAGGACCTCTGCGATATCAAAGGCAGCCTGGTGTACATAGCAAATTCCAGGCCAGTGGGGCTACAGGGAGACCCTGTCTCAAAAAAAAAAAATAGTGTGAACACTAATTAATAGTAATGCAGTCTTTAAACTCAATAAAATTGGAAGATGAGGCCTTTGGCTAACTGCCTTTTATTTTTAAATCTTACTTAAATATATCTTCTCAACCAATAAAATGTATGAGGCTGTAAGAAACTCTCTTTTTCAACTTTTCAATTTGAAAATCATAGCTTCAAAAGTAATTGAAACAATATATACAGGAAAATCCTATGTACTATCTACTCAATCATCTCCAATATTAACATTTTGTATAACAATAGTAAAATATTTTAAATGTGTATCTGAAAAAATAGTGAATGTATATCTGGGGCTGGAGAGATTCAGCAGTTAAGCACACTGGCTGCTCTTACAAAGAACCTGGGTTCAGTTCCCAGCACCCACATGGCAGGTAATAACCATCCATAACTGCAGTTCCAGGGGATCCAATGCCCTCTTTCTGACCTTTGCAGGCATTGCATGCATGGGTTGCACTTACATACATGTAGGCAAAACGTTCATACACATTTTTAAAAAATATTTTTTAAACATTTAAAAATTTATGTCTGCTTTGGCACATTTATGGTTTGCCAGCACTCAGGAGGCAGAGGCAGGTGGATCTCTGTGAGACTGAGGTCAGCCTAGTCTATATAGCCAGTTCCAGACCAGCTGGGGCTATAGGAAGACCCTGTCTCAAAAAAACAAAATAAAATAAAACAAAGATTATTATTAAGAAAATAAAGAACCTACAAAATAAGAAAAAATATCTGCAAAATATGTATTTGACAAAGCCCTACTGTTACAAAAATATAATAGCTTCTTTTACTTAATAAAAGGACAAAACTTCCAGAGGATCAGAATAAAAATTTCTTTAAACCATGCATTTGCCACAAGTGCACACAGACACACACACACACACACACACACACACACACACGGACACACACACACACATGAGCGCAAGCATGCACACACACACACGGCTAGTAACCACAAGAAATATTTAATATCATTAGTTATTAAGCTGGGAAAGATGGTTCAACAGTTAAGAGCACTAGCTGCTCTTGAAGAGGGCCTGGGTTTGAATCCCAGTACCTACATGGGAGCTAACAACCATCCATAACTCCAGTTCCAGGAAATCTGATGCCCTCTTCTGACCTCGGGCATTGTATGACAAGGGTGCACTTATATAACTGCAGGCAATATACTCATACACATAAAATAAAAATAATAAAAATTTTTAAAGGAAATCAAAACCACAAAGATACACTTCACATGCACTAACATGGCTATAATAAAAAAGACAGGATTAGAGATGTAGCTCAATGACAGAGTGTTTGCCTAGCATGTGTAAAGCCCTGGGTTCAATCCCCATATACCCCCGTCATACATATACACATGAAAAGATAGACAATAACAAGTACTGGCAAAAATATCGATAAATTGGAACCCAGTTACATTGCTGGTAGAAACATAAAAGCATTGAGCCACTCTGAAAAATAGCTTGGCAGCTCTTCAAAAGGTTAAACATTGAGTTATCACATGACCCAGCAATTCTGCCTCTAGTCCAATGAAATGGAAATGTATATCCATAAAAAATGCATGAATGTTCACTGCAGCATTATTCACAATGAGTAGAAACAACTCAAACATTCATCAGCTGATGAATGGATAAACAAAATGACAAAATGCAGCATAGATATAATGGAATACTATTTGCCATAAGAATAAAAAATACTGATACATGCTATAAGATAGATGAACCTTGACAACATTATGTTCAGTTAAAGAAGCCAAACACAAAAGGCCATGTGTCATTTGACTCCATTTACATGAAACATCCAGAACTGGCAAACCCACATAGATGGAAATAAGAGGTTGCCAGGAGTTAGGGGGACAGGGAATGAGTAATGGGTATATTGCTTTCTTTTTGATGATAAAATGCTCTGAAACTTGATAGTCATAGTAGTTACACAGCCTTCAGAATATACTATAAAATCACTGAATTTTATGCTTTTAAATTCTGAATTTTACAGAATTAGAATGTTGGTTAGAATTGTTTCAGTAAAAATACGTTTAAGAATGAAAAAAAGGAAATAAAACATTTTAATGATAAAAGATACACTTTTTCAAAGAAAAGGAAACTGAATTTGTCAAAAGACCTTCACAAAAGAATTTCAAAAGAATGAAATTAATCAAAGATGAAAGTTTGATGGAAATATTAAGAATGATGAACAAATGACATACGTCAGTAAACTTAACTGAATACTGATTATAAAACAATAATGATAGTGTCGAGTGAAGGTAAAAAATAAGTGGAACACTGGAGAGATGGCTCAGCGGTGAAGAACACTGGTTGTTCTTGCAGAAGACCCGGGTTCGAATCCCAGCACCCACATGGCAGCTAACAACTGTCCATAACTCCAGTCCCAGGGGATTCGACAGCCTCTTCTGACCTCCGCAGGCATTGCACAACACGGTGCACTTACCTACATGCAGGCAATACACACATACACAAAATAAAAATAAATAAATTTTTTTTAATTTTTAAAAAATAAGTAGAACTCAAGTGTGCAACAGAAGTTTGTAAAAATCCAAAGAGAAATAAAATACAGAGAAAAGAGTAAAGTTTTTTATTAACTTTAGTAAGTACACACATTACTAAAGTTAAGACTATAATCAATAGACACATTATTTTCCATTTATATGAAATGCCCAGAATTAGGCAAACACATAAAGACAGAGAAGAGATTAATGACTGTTTAAGGCAAGGTGGTAGAGGGAATTACAGAAGATTGGGGACTGATTACCAATGGATATGGAGTTTCTTTGGAGGGGAAGTAATGAAAATGTTCTAAAATTGTGGTATGGTTGCACATCTGTGAATATACTTAAAATTACTGAACACTATGCTGGATTTTTTGTGTGTGTGGTTTTTGTTTGTTCTGTTTTGTTTTGTTTTTTGAGACAGGGTCTCCCTGTAGCCCCAGCTGGTCTGGAACTCACTATATAAGCCAGGCTGGCCTCCTGAGAGCTACCTGTCTGCCTCCAGAGTGCTAGGACTAAAGGTGTGCACCACCATGCCTGGCTGAACCAAACACTTTGAACTGTATGGTATGGAAATATATATATCAATGATGCTGGCTTTACGCTTTTTAATGGAAGCATACACTAAAATGATGAATGGGAATACCAGGGAAAGGCTAACTGACTGACAGGCTTCACTACTGGCTGATCAGGTAACAAAAGCAGACTTTTCATTAGGGGTCTTCCTCTCCAATGTCAAAATGTAGACATGTTTTCTCTCAGGCCTTTCATCTCCTCCAGAGGTGAAATTTTCATTCTCCCTTCCGAAGTTAAAAAGGGGGTAAAGGGTTTTATCTGCCAATGTACACTCTGACAGAAGCATCAGAGCTAGGATGCTACAATTTCAGAATTCAGTGAGATTTTACTCAGTCTTCATGTTCAGCTCCATGCCCCATTCCTGTCCTCTATCTTAGCTAGCGTAAGCCTAACTGTTGCTGCAGTTCAATTTTCCATCTCCTTTGGGCAAAAGACCTAGGAAGACTTGCATACTATACAAAGATTTTCAACAAATTTGCCTTATTTTGAATAAATCTTATTCCTCCTTTCAGAATATTTGGCATTTCCAAGTGCTGAGCCTACTTCCATACTTTAAGCCAATCATATCACCCCTTTCTCTCCTTTCTGAAAAATAATGCGAATCACTTCATGTTCTCCCTTGTCCTGAGTTAAAACACCTTTGGGGGGGGGGCTGGATGTGGTTAATCTATCACATTTACCTGGAAGTTGCAATAGGATTTCAAAACTCATTTCCTATTTAATCATATGAACTCTAGTGTGCATAAAATGATCCCTTAAAAATACTAGTCCTCAACCTACAGCAATGATGTCAGCATGCACAAGACCCATGCAAACTTATACAGACAAAACCCAGCACAGAAACAGAACTGTGGAAATGAACAGCAGGCCCCAATCTTAGTCAAAGAATTATTGGCAGCTGATCACTGCTGGGTGAGGAAGAGCTGATCTTCTTGAAGAAAGAGACTCTAGTTAGGCTGACTAAACCCTGGTGGATGAACTTTTACTGAGGGACATCTCAGGACACTAGCTTTACATAATAGGCCCTAATACAAATGGCAGGATGTATGGACTCCAGTTGGGGTGGGGGGGCTATGGGTGGGTGCCAAAGGGGAAGGGGTAAGGGATATAAAGATGATTTTATGTATGAAATACACAAAAATTCAATAAATTTTTTTTAAAATACTGGTCCTCAAAACATATATGAGTTTCTGGGCCTGGTGGTGCTCCCCTTTAATCCCAGCACTCAAGAGGCAGAGCAAGTGGAGCGCTATGGATTTGAAGCCAGCCTGGTCTACATAGTGAGTTCCAGGGCTACATAGTAAGGCTAACAAGATGGTGCAGTGCGTAAAGGCACTTGCCACACAAGGTTGATGACCTGAGTTTGATCCTCAAAATCCATGTGACATT